GCCAAATACAATAACCTCAGTTTTATCTGAATTTAAATGAAGGAAGTTACAGGTCATCCAGACCTTAATGTCCTTCAGACATGCCTGGAGTTTAAGTAACTGATTGGTTTCATTAGGGTTCATAGATAGATATAACTGGGTGTCGTCTGCATAACAATGGAAATGTATGCAGTGCTTCCTAATAATGTTACCTAACGGAAGCATATACAGAGTAAATAATATTGGTCCTAACACAGAACCCTGAGGAACTCCATAAGCAACTCTGGTACGGCTGGAAGAACCATCATTAACATGAACAAACTGGAATCTGTCTGATAAATATGATTTAAACCAGTTCAGCGCAGTCCCTTTAAGTCCAATCGCATGTTCCAGTCTCCGTAATAGGATGCTATGATCAACAGTATCAAATGCTGCACTAAGATCCAATAGAACCAGAACGGACACTAGTCCACTATCTGAAGCTAGAAGAAGATCGTCAGTGACCTTCACCAGTGCTGTCTCTGTACTATGATGAATTCTAAATCCTGACTGAAACTCTTCATTCAAACCATTTACATGCAGATAATCGCATAGTTGGTTTGCCACGACCTTTTCAAGGATTTTTGAGATAAAAGGAAGGTTGGATATTGGTCTGTAATTGGCTAAAACACCTGGATCTAGAGTAGGCTTTTTTAGAAGTGGCTTTATTATAGCAACTTTAAAAGCCTGCGGTACGTAACCTGCTAGCAGGGAGAAGTTGATCATATCTAACACTGTACTGTTCATTAAAGGAAAGATCTCCTTAAACAGTCTAGTGGGAATGGGGTCCAACATACATGTTGCTGGTTTAGAAGAATTAACTATTGATGTGAGCTCTGAGAGGTTCACAGTAGAGAAGCTGTCCAAACACACATCTACTTCTGTGGACGCTTCCAGAGCCGCTGCACCTAAAGAATTAGGTCCCACACGTGTTTCCACATTTAAATTATACGTGAACTAAATTGGTTTGGTTGGTTTGTTTTGGGAAAGTTCAACATTGAAGTGTGTAAAACCAAAATGATAAAGTGAGAAGAAAAAAGGGCCTGAATATGCCTTCTGTACTATGTGACCTTTGTATGCCAAAATATCTGGTTCTTTAACTTGTTCAAATATTTATCAGTTTGAAGTTAATAAACAGAAATGTGTACTGATTATGGTATGATTACCCTCTTTTTTGTACTTAGGACTTGGTTTTGCCCCAATTATAATTATGAGTCAGCTTAAGTGTATTTGTCATGTATTTATCAGCACTGGTTCCTGGTTTCATCAGGATTCCAATAAACAAATTTGGATCAGTGCGTGAACAGTTCATGCAATCTGAATAAAACATGAATCTGAATTCTCTTTATTGTGGATTATGCAACAAAACCAATGAGTTTTGCATGACTTCAAAGTCTTCTATAAAAGAGAAAGAAACAGAGGGTGTGAGTGGTTTAAGCTGCACTATGCAGCACTCACTTACAGCTCTGTTAGCATTTCATGTCTCCAACTTCTGCTTAATGTTACACTGATATCTGATGACAAAGCAAATTTTTTAACCGACTAGCAATTAAGAATGATCTTCTTATCTAATCCAGTGTAATGAGCTGGCAACTGTGTCAGCGTTTCCCCCCCGTCACCCTTTTTATATTTAAAGTTATAGCTACGATCTCAAGTGAGCGACAAGCACTAATGCCTTATACATTCAAATGTAACTTTGATGATTTCAGTTGAAATATAGATCACATCGAGGTGTGACAATAGGTCTGCTTTGGCTGAGGGTCTACTTTGTCTTGGCCAATGGGGGTCAAATCATATGGCTTGGGTTTGGTTGCTGTGGATGGGGGAGGGGTGTTTTCTTTCAATATCTCCTCTGAGCCAATAAGCAAGAGTGGTACTGGGTGAATCCAATTATCATCTACGAACTATCCCCAGCAACACCTTGGAACAGGCTGCCATGCACTTTCATCACACAGATTCCCATGCAAACAATAAAACACTCATATAAATATTTCGCTGCTCCAGGAAGATGAATTCTATACATGATAACATAATATGCTTATTATTTATCGCTGTTTATCCAATGAAACACACATTTTTCCAACTTTAACCGTAATAGTTTCATTTTTAATGAACATAATTGATGATGTACTAGTTAGATAAAGCAATTTCCAGCTGTATCTGACTGATTTTTCATAGACATTTATAATAAATATTAAGGTAAATGTTAAAATATCCTCAAAAATGTTGAAATTTGCAATCCGCATGTTCTGTAAATTATTTTTCTGTAACCTTTATTTAAGGTTTCTTGATTTAACCAACGTGCACACACAAAATTATGAATTTTGCATCAAGAAGTTAAAATCAAGGTACTGCAAAGTGCAAGTCATAGGTCAAATAGTTGCTTAACCTGGCACATCTTAATAAAATAAATGTGGTAAAGACAGTTCTACACTTCTGCTAATGTATAAGTGCGATTGCATTGTCTGCATTGGTCATTGTTTCCAATTCCAGTCTTGCAATAAAAGAACAGTGTCCTGAAATGACGCTACTGGCTCTTTAAGAGGAGCTGTTCGTCCCTGTACAACTGTTTTATGCAAATATGACAAGCCGAACGTGCCGCCAGCCAATCAGAGGAGAGCTCCAACCGCGGGAGATCTAAATTTCGCGGGATGAAGTTTGGCGGTAAAAAGACTGTTCTTCCCCAGCTCTTGTCTTCTTGTATGGAGAGAGGGAGAGAGAGAGAGAGAGAGAGAGGTGCTCTGAGGTGGACGGACAGGAGACACACACCGGCTTCAGAAGGAAGGAAGTCACGTTTAAGTTGTAAATCTGCAGCACCGGAGCAAAGGAGCATTTCAGGTGCTGGACTTTGAAAAAATACTGGATGTTTTGGGGAGTATTTATTTATTTTTATGAACTGGTAAGGCAAGTTTCCTCTACACTTTGTTAGCGGACACGGGACAAGAACACCGATCAGACTGCTGATTTTTTTTATTTTTAGAAATTACGCACAAATTGTATGTTTAACTCGCGCGTTTTGGGGATTTCATTTCTCATTTTTTAATTCTGAAAGGTGCTTTTGATTGTTCTTACTGCAGAGACATTGTGTGTGTATTCTCACAGTAAGCTAGCAGCAGCAGCAGCAGCAGCAGCTTGCTAATATAGCAGAGCATTTATCAGCTCAGCTAACTGCACACTTCTATCCTCCGCTTGACCAATCCGGTTAAATTTAGTTTACTCAGGAAAATGATGCGGATGCCTAAAGGCGTCTCTCCGGCAGCGGGTCGGCCGGTAGTCGGGCTGGCTTGTTCTCAGCAGAAGATGAAGGTTTTGGCCACCGGTGGAGTAAAGACCGACTTCTTCAGCACCGGACTTTCCAGCCCGCCGATGAACACGGTACCGGCCGGTTATTTCACCCAGATCTGCAACACCACCGTGGCGGAACAAAGAGCCAACAGCCTGTATTCAACCCCCCACGGACCAGAGGCTAAACCCATCAGATCATCCTCTGGACGACTACCGGTAAAGCATCAAACACACATACTGACAATCCTGTGCCACTTTTACGCACAGTTTATCCAACGATCCAGCTCAGTCATTGTATGTGGGAGGAATCATTTGTCATTTCCATTGGTATGCGTGTTCCAATAGGGCGCATTCAAATATGTGTTTACGTGATAAGCCTCAGTGGGGCCACTGTGACTGCTGCATGAATGCTGTGTGTTCTCCTTTTCTGTCTTTTTCCCCCGCAGTCCAGCTGTAGCTCCACAGGACCAGATGCTCTGTGTATATTTGATGGCGTTCATAAGTGAGGAAAGGGTGGGGGGAGTTTAGGTGATGGTGTTTGGAGAGTGTTTGGGGCCTCTCTCTTGTGAGAAAAAAAAGGATGAGTGCCCCCCTGGTGCAGCAGAGATAGCTTTTACACAACCAAACAATGTCATGGGGATGACCCTGCTGGAGGACACCTAGTTTAAACATACATGTATTTGTGATTACACCCATAGACAGCTGCTCCATCTGCACCTGTCACCGAGGCCAATACAGGACCTGTGTAACCTGTTCATACTGCTGTAGGAACCGGACAACTGTTGTGTTTTCCCGGGAGCTGATGCGTTTGTATGCTCAGGTGTAGTCTTATAATGCTGCTAAAAACATCAATCCCAGGTTTGACAACATTTAACTATGTGTGCATCCAGGATTATTTGAAAAATCAAGATGATCTGACATGATTGGATCACACTCAGCGATGTCTTAGAGCTCCACACCTGTTGGGTTTGGTGTTTTCATTCCAGCCAAGCTCACCAGCCTTTCAGCACTTTAGATTTAGTGAATTGCAGCAAGACTGAAGGGGTTAGGGGTTAGAGTGTGTACAGGGTCTCCAAATCTCATGTTAACCCCCTGCCCTGTGAGTCTGTGCTTGCTAATAGGCCCTTCAAGAGGATTAGTTGGACATAAGTAAAGTGAAAAATAGGCTACCACCTGGCTTATTATATGTCAAGGTGAATCTAATTACTGTTCGCTGTACATGATAGAATTATCACTTTAAAGCAGACATTTAAATGTGTTTACTTCTATTATCCGGCATTAGGATCATTTTGTATGACAGAAATTGAGCCTATAACTGGCCCAGACTGATACAGCAACTTGGATGTGAGCTGATATTCTTTATTGTATATATAGATATATATACTTTAAATGCTATCAATTTGGTCACAAGTTCAAGATAAGAAGCCAGAATGCTGTGTTTTCACCCTGATAACAGTGCTCCCTGTTCTCTCTCTGAACTGTACATGTATGATGTGTTTGGATTTGTTGTGACCACATTAACTTCCTTGTTTCAAGAGAAGTTTTTTTGTTTTTTTTACTTATTTCTTATTGTCACAAATGTTTATTCCTATTTCATCTGGAAAAAATAGAAGCTTAATTTGGTAGGAAACAAGTGATTGCACTTTTGAATGTACAGAACAGGTTTCAAAAGTTCCATGATTAGGAAATTTCCTCAGCACACGTCAGTACATTAGGTAAGCATTCAATTGTGGCGGGGTAAGCACCTCAAAGCACCTCAAAGTTTACAGTTTGCGATGTGTTGGGGGGTCGGTTGAACTTTGTTTTATGCTCTGAAAATGTGTGTCTTGTTCATGTAGAAGATAAAAAAAACCCCGAAAGAAATCAATTGAATCAGTGATTCAATTTGATTCCCATTTGAAGCTTGTCCCTTCCTTGGCATGTATGTAGTAATATACATGTAATAACAAAAGATACAAGGACGATTCTAATTGTGTTTAAGGGAATAAATAAAAGGAAATAAAAAGCTGTGTATCTGACCGACTCGGGACATGTTGGCAAACCAACTGGCTTGCAGTTTCTTTAAGTGTTCCATTTGATGTAGTTCAGTTATTTCAATTCATCCCTGAGCTTGAAGATAGCTGTGTCTTTTTTACACGCCTGCTGACACAACAGCTTCACTGCATGTTCAGTCATGGGTCTTATGCTTTACAGGAAGTGTTGCCTCTTCATGTACAGCACACTTCCTTGAACTTAAACAACATAACAACCACTGCTTTTTTAAAAATCTTTTTTGGCTTGGAAACCGGATGCCTGCCTTAACATGAAAACATGAGGTCCTTTTGGTACAAACAAACTTTATATCTGTCATCTATAGTCACACACTTGGAAGCTCTCTCATGTAGCATATGCCTTAAAAAAAAGTTAATATTTGACTGATTGTTGTTAACTTAGTTGCAGAGATTTCATCTTTACTTATTAATCAAGTTAAGTCTGTGTATCAGTGATTGGCGTGTGAGTTTTAACCAGGCTGTGTGGGCTTTTTTGCTTGATAATGATGTAAATGTGCGACAGTATTCAGGCCCTCATCCAAAGTCCAGGGAAGCTTATTCTCTGTACGACAGCTGCTTTCACATTAAACCTCCTCTTCGGGGCTCTACAGCGCTACAGAAGAATGAATTTATCTGATTACCACAAGCATTGCTCTCTGCAGCCAAATGGCAGCCTGGCCACAAGATACATCTCCATAATATTGAGCCGAAACAATGTCTTGTTTATTCCCTGCTTACGCACATGTGCGTGTGTCCGGACTTTCTTGGAATGTGCACAATTTGCACCAACTGCCTGAACACTGATATCAGCTTTATGAATTTTCCCTTCTGCGTTTCCACTTGAACACACACACACCTCCTCCATGTTCTTTCCTAGAACTAGTGAGGGTTTGACTCACTTCCTCGGAGCCCCTAGGGTTACCCCCCGACTCACACTGATGCTTGAGTATGATATTGGTCACACTGTCAACTTTATGCACTCATTCACCTTATTTTACCCCAGCCTCAGGCCAATACTGGGCCTGGAGCATAATGTTCTCAATTAGGGGGAGTTTTGCATTTCAAAGCAGCGTCAATCACCAGCAACACGAACTGCAGATCCACCCTTCTTTCTGACCTCCTCAGAGACGTATCAGCAATCCCATCAGCAATGCAACTATTGTTTTTTCTTTGCCTACCCAAGGGTGTGGTTTTGAGGGGGATCTGTATGGAGTAGTAGATGTTTGCAGGCGTACTGTAACTTGCCCTTGGCTGGGATGGGATCTCAGTCTTGTGCAGCCTGACCAGCAAGGTTTTGTTGGCTTCAGGAGCGGCCTGGCTGCAGATGTACTTCGTGTGACTGCGCGAGTGTGTGTGAAATGTCACTGTAGAGATTTCACCACAGCAGTGGAGATAGCGCGAATTGGCTACAGAATTTACAGCAAGCAAGAGGAAGGCACGTGCAGGGCTTTGGTGTAACTGGGTAGGCAGGGTGAGGTTGTAGCAAATGTGAGTGGAGCGATACTGTGAGCCTTAGGAAATAAAGAGCTAAGGAGGAGGATAGTTGACTCAGGCCTTTTCTATTTCTTCTCATGACAACTGGTCTAAACAGTTGCTTGCTGCACCGAAACTACAGTGGAACTCATTTTAAATGGACTAGCACTGTGTTTTGTGTGAAAATTATAAAGCTCAACAGTGCTTCAGAAAGTTTCAGACTACACATCTATGCACGTCCTTGTGAAATGTCATCATTTTGATGGTTTCTCACTGCGGTCTGAGGAAGATGAGCTGCCTTTCCACTAAATGAAATGGCGTTTGTGTAATATGGTTGACTCACCAGAGAAATCTCTCATGCAAAAAAGGGAGCACCCAATCCCCCACCCTAACCCATACAGCTGCAGGGTGCAACCGTTGCTTCCCCTCTTACAACATGTCACCCTGCCTGTGGCTGTGACTCAAACTGCAGACCTAGAGGTATCTGCACATTTAGGCTGTAGAAGTTACAAAGTGCTCCACTTTATTTTGCGACAGTTGCTGATTCTTTGTGCTGGGAAACTGTAGAGCCAGGGGTCAACTCAAACCTGACAGATCTTGTCTCTGTTTAAACTACAGCTGTCGCGACTTGTAGGCAGTCCAACTGGTATCACAGAGTTTTCTCTGTGATCACTGGTATTTTACAGCTACTGTCAGAACTCTAACCTAATAAAAACTCCACTTTCACTTGTTAAATGCTGCCATTTTGTTCCAGGAGTCGCTGTCCTGCCGTGTGTGTCTTTGTGTCCTGTTGAAGTTTCTGTATGGCCTCCTGTATGCTGTAGGGATTAAAATCCACCCTGCCAACAAGCACATACACTTGCTGTGCTGCTCCAGATGTCACCAGTGAACAGGTGGACATGTCAGGGAGTGCACAAGGACAATGGCAGCCTTCATTATCCCTTCAGTCACACAGCCACATCCCTGCATGCTTGAGTCAATTCCTCAATTTTCTCAGCTCTAAAAAAAAATAAATAAATAAATAAATTACCTAAAACTACCAACTAAATCAGCTCACTAGCCTCATGCTATAACAACAGCCATTATTGTTGCTATGTATTTGTTAGGATGGTGGTGTGAGACAATAAAGACAGCTGAGGTCCAAACCATCCATCCATCATCTATACACCGCTTAATCCTCACTAGGGTCGGCAGGTTCACCTGGACAGGTAACCAGTCTATCACAGGGCCACACTTAGAGACAGACAACCAAGCACACTCACATTCACACCTACGGACAATTTAGAATCACCAATTAACCTCAACATGTTTCTGGACTGTGGGAGGAAGCCGGAGAGCCTGGAGAGAACCCACGCTGCACGGGGAGAACATGCAAACTCCACGCAGACCCCGGTGCCCCCACTGGGATGCGAACCGGCGACCTTCTTGCTGCAAGGCAACAGTGCTAACCAACTGCGCCACCTTGCAGCCTGGTCCTAACCAGACACTACAAATTACCCAGCAGCCCCAAACATCGAACAGAGAGCGCCTCGCTACGTGGGTGCAATGTGTGAAGAGGGAATGAGAACCGATTGACTCCAAACTTTCTCATTGGCCATGAGCATATGTTGGTGCCGTTTAACATGCCAGTGAAAAAGTGTCCCTAATTTGCACAAGTTGTCATTTTTCACACTAGTTTTCTTCATCCTGAAGACAGCAGCTCGAGTCTTGTGACATTTGCAATGTAGGCCATTGTAAAAAAGCATTGGTCATTTGAAAAAGGTTGTCTGCATGTTTTGAAGTCTGCATTGCAGTTCTAGTCAGGTAATCATCTGATTATATGGAGAGCCAGTTAGCTAGAAGAAAGATCCAGCGAGACAGGAGGCTTGAGAGAGGGGGAGGAGGAGAGGTCATTGAGTGATTCCAGGGACTTCCTGAAGTGTTGCAGGCAGTGGGTTGAGAGCCTGTCGCTCCCCCACCCTTCTTGATCTGCCCACAGACACACAAAATCAGCCCCTATTGAAGTGCTTGGGAAAGTGTGAGGGGGGGTGCTTTGTTCCTGCACTTGAGGGTTGTTGGCACATTTACGACACGACACTTTTCGACAAACCCCTATTTAGCCCTTTTGCCAGCATTGATGTCACACTTTCATGGAGGGATTTGGAGGGACTCGGCCTGCATTCTACATTTAATCAGTTTCAGCTTTTAACTCATTATTAAAACAAATTAGTTTGATGTGTTAAACAGGTAGGAGCTTTTTTTTCTGCAGACCCTGAGATGGAAATATTTTCAATATTATTAACACTTTATTAGTTCTTTTCGTGACAAATTGCTTACTTCATAGAAAGTACGAGAACTACAAGACACATCCTCTTTGTTTTTAATGTTTGCACCTTTTTGTAACGCATACAAATCTGTTTCTCTCCAGGCTAAAAGGAAGCTAGACCTAGAGGATCCTCTCTATCTGCCAGACTTCCGCACACCAAAAGGCAAAGGCAGCATTGCAGCAAGGATTCCAAGCCCACGGAGTGAGTACACGACATGAATCAGATGTGACGAAGAGGTTAAGTCAGTCTTCTGCCTAGAAAATGTTGTTTTATAAAAGAAAAAAAATAATAGCACAATATAGTCAACAGCAGGGGCATATGAGGTTTAACTTGATATAAGAATTACAGTAAAATATGGTCAATAAAATAAGTACAATAAGTATAAGTATAAGAGATAGTTTTAAGGAAGTAGTTCTTAATAAAAGTCTGTGCCCAACGAAGATCAGGTGATGCTTCAAATGGGAGGGTAAGGCTGGTGCTACATACACAAGGGTCAGCATGGCATAAATTTCTTCATCTTCACACATTCACGTGCAGCTCCAAATCTAGTATCTATGGTGCAGCCACAATAGTGAACATGCAATACGTAGATACAACTTACTGTGCATGTATGCAGCAGTCTTCCAAACAGATGCCAATGGACTAGAATAATAAAAGCCAGTTCATGCCTTGTGCAACTATGTGTCTGCAAGGGTCTGCATCACATAAATGTCCCCTCTGTGGATGTCTGCATGTAATATATTATTTGCGACCATGGGGACACATGCTTCTAAAACAAAATGGTTAGTACATGCTTTCCATCGACAGTGTCCAAACACAGTGAGAAGTTCTGAATTCTCCAGAAATCCTGTGCTATGTCCACCCACTGTGCTCAGAGCACCTCAGGAATAATCACACTAACATGGTGCTATAAACTGTACAAGAGCCCCCAGGATGTTTCTATGTCTGATATTAGGGGCAATGCGACATAGCATTATGAATAGAACTGTCTGCTTTCAAAATCTGCACCAGTTATGCAGAAACCATGAACTGGCCCTAAAAGCAACTATATGTCTGTGGGTATCCGCATGTGCATCTGCTATGGTGTTTGATCCATAGACTGTATAAAAGATGGACGTGGCAACCGGCCCTGAAAAATGAAGCCAACCCGGAAGTGTCAAAAACCTGCAGCATCACTACGTCCACTAGTCCTGGCTCCACAAAGCCCTGGCTCCCATAGAAATGAATTGGAAAAGAAGTGATCACAGATCACCAAATACCGCATTCCTACAGCTCAGGATTTTTTTAAAATTAGTTTTCATGGTCAAGTCCAGAGATCAGGTGGCCAATCTGAAAATAAATCAATACTGAATTTTTAAAAAATGTCAACATTTTGCGGGGCAAGGGGCGTGGCTGGCTTGATTGACAGTTGGCAGCGACCATACAGGCGAAGCGAGCAGAATGTGGGCGGGGCACAGAGGGCCCGCCTCTCAATCCATCTGACCAATCGCTGCTCCTATGGCTCCGCCCCCCTCCGACGATTTTTGCGTCACTGGCTCCAAAAATCCAAGATGTCAACCAGGAAGTAGCAAAACCCTGGCTGTGTCCGAAATCATCCACTCACTCCCTACTCCCTATATAGTGATCACTATGGAGCACCTATGGAGCACCTCGGCAAAGTATCATTTCGGACGCTACTCGAGCTGTTAATTACGTCGCTCGCTAGCCGCGATTTGTGCTGCAACAGCGTAGTACAAACACATCAAATTAACAGTTTATTGCGTAGCTAAGAAATCAAATTAAATCAAGTTTATTGTCATTTTGCTGCACATACCAGATGAGAGAGCGTTTCGTCAGGATCCAGTAACTAAAAGCAATTTAAATAAAGTGGTCTAGTTTGTCCAAATCACAACCGAGCGCTGCAATTTTAGCGACGTTCACTGTCCGGGTAAAATAAAATTTAACAAAACAAACGGGAATTTTTCCGCGCTCTCGTTCATCTCCATTTCCATTTCCTTTCGCGCAATGCATGACAGTCCATATTGCTCGGTTAGTGACCATCGGCTGTACACTACTTATTACGGTGCATTGTGGGATATTTTGGGTGCACTATATAGTGGATGAAATTTACCGCTGAGAATTCGAACAACACTACAAAATGGCATGCACCCTATATAGTGCACTATGTAGGGCATAGGGAGTGATTTCGGACACAGCCCCTGGCTTCATTTTCTCAGTGCAGAAACCAACGCGTGACGTCACGGTAGCTACGTCCATCTTTTATACAGTCTATGGTTTGATCAAGGCTTCAGTGGACGAGATCGTTTAAAGGATCGTATAGGAGACATGGACAAAGAGGGATGCTTTGTGGTTTGGGGTTACAGGTTGTCTTTATAGACAGAGAATGTTCAGCTCAAAGTACCAGTGACGCAGAGGAAAACGGCACATGGATCCTCTGGAACTCAGGAGCCCTAAGAAACAGTTATTATAAATAATTAGACCTATAAGAGACAAATTAAACAGGGAAGGCTTTACTTGAGGCAGCATTTTTGCAAATAACAGTCATCGGAGAGAGGAATAGAATGTTATTTGCAATTATTGAGCTAGATGTCAAACATCGAATGAAAAATGAGTCACATTCAGGCAGGAATTAAAGTAGCTGACACATTTATACACTAGTTTGTTTTCATGTCAGTGTTGTCAACAGCTTGATTGACTAATCCAATACCTACTTAAATCAATACTCTGCACCAGCTGATCAGCTGATTGAAGTACATAAATTATCCCAGAAAAACTGAATTGTATACCTCCTTTACTGATTTTTCTCTTCTCTCATGCTATTTTCGTGTGTTTTTGGTCTTAGCTCCAAAGTCTCCAGGTGAGCGGACACGCTATGACACCTCATTGGGCCTGCTGACCAAGAAATTTGTGGGTTTGATTGCTGAGTCCCCTGATGGAGTTCTTGATCTGAACTGGGCCACTGAAGTTCTGGAGGTCCAGAAGAGACGCATCTATGACATCACTAATGTCCTAGAGGGAGTCCAGCTGATCAGAAAGAAGTCCAAGAACAACATCCAGTGGCTGTGAGTCCAAATGCAGAAGAGAATAAATATTAGGATTTAAAGTAGTCTTAAATTATTATTATTATTATTATTATTATTATTATTATTATTATTATTATTATTAT